ACTTTCCTCATAAGCACAAAGTTCTGAGTTTGATTCCCCAGTACTATATATACATATGGTTTGTAGGAAATTAGTGCTTTGTACAGTTGCTTAGCACTCCACAAAATTTTTTTATAAAAAATATGCTTTTAGGACTCAGTTTGGAGAGAATGTTCTTGTTGGTGCTTCTGCAGACAAATCCAGCAGATGCACAAATATGTCATTAACTCAAGGCGGAATAAAGAGCGAGGGGTGAGCTCCTAGTTATCTCTACATAAGAAGAAAAGTACAGTGACCTAAGTCTGTTAGGGAATTGATCATGTTAAAGTATATTGTGACGCCGCCTCACAGGCTGCATTCTCCTGGTACATCTTGGCTCCTAAAATGACCTCATGCCCTTATTTCTGGTGGTCCAGGAAGTTGAAACCTTTGTCTGCAGGACTGGGCCCATAAAAACAATCTGGCCTGTGATAGGTTAAAAGTAACTCACTCCTCATAAATAAGCAATAGCCCACCCCAAAACTGATAAAAGGACCTTCCTTTCTTTGTTCTCTCTCTCCTTCTGCTTCTTCTTCCTACTCTCTCTCTCTCTCTCTCTCTCTCTCTCTCTCTGCCTTCCGGCCTCCTGCTCGCCTCCCTACAATAAAGATCTCCTGCCGGACCTCTCGGTGCATGAGGGGCCTAATTGGAAAGGGGCAACCGAAAGGGCACGCGAACCCCCTTTCAAAGTCTATATCACTAAGATTGACTGGCTGGACAATCACAAACAGGCAGAGGGGAAGAAAGGGCAGGAATAGTTATAAATAGTTACTCAGCTAATCCCTCGTAAAGTATGCCCGGCCCTGTATACTATCAAAAAGTGGGCTAAACAATCATTATATCTGGAAAGGATCTTTGATTTATCATCAAGTAATATGACAAACAAGAGGCAACCCTGATAATACCGAAACCTACCTATAAGGATGCCCTCATGAAGGGCTCCCTCAACTGCATGGAACGCTTAATGTTAAAGTAATATGCTAAAGAAAAAAAGAGATCAGACCACCCCAAATATAAAGACCCAATTCAAAAATGGGCATCTGAAATGAACAGACATTTCTCAGAGAAGTAACAGCAGCAAATAAACATATGAAAAAATGTTCAGCATCACTATTCATTCAAGAGATGCAGATGAAAACAACACTGAGATCCCATCTTAGCCCAAGAAGAATGGCTGCTATCAAGAAATCAACCAATAACAAATGCGTGTGGGGTTATGGGGATAAAGGAGCCCTTCTTCATTGTTGGTGGGAGAGCAGACTGGTGCAACCACTGTGGAAATCGACATGGAGATACCTCAAACAATTAGGATTAGAGGTCCCAGTTGACCCCTCTGATACCTCTGCTGGGTATCTTCCCTAAAGAATTAAAAAAATACCACATTGATACATGCTCACCCATGTTCATAGTGGCACAGTTTGTAACAGCTGAAACTTAGAAACAGCCCATCAACTAGAGACTGGATAAAGAAAATGTTTGTTTGTTTGTTTGTTTTAAGAAAATGGAGTACTACTAAGCTATAAAGAACAAGAAACTAGAGACATTTATAGCTAAGTGGATGCACACTGAGTCCATACTCTTAAGTAAAATTAACAAGACACACATATAAATACCACCTAGTTTCTCTGATGTGAAAGACTAGCACTGTAAATAAAGAACAAAATATATAATTGATATTCTATAATAGGAAGAAAAGGTCTAGTAGGGGAAGTGGGAGAGGTAAGTGAATGGTAAGAAGGAAAAAATATGAGAAGGAAAAAAGGAAAAAAATGGAAACAAAGTCTTTGTAAATAGGAAAGGGTGGAGAGGATAAAGGGAGGGCAGAGGAATGGGGAAAGAACCAAGATACATCATGTAAAGGTACAAGGTCCCAACAATGAATGTAACTGCATTCTATAACTAAAATATACCAATAAAATTAATGTAAAAAATAGTCAAAATAAAAAAATAAAGTATCTTTTTTACCCCCCTCGCTGCATTTATAGTAAAGAATGTAAATAGAACACATCTGGTATGCCTACCAGTCATTTTAATGCAGGCAGTCCTTGATTTATGAGTTTAGATCAGATTATGTAACCTTTGGCTTCATGTCTTTTTATTGTAATTGCCCAAACTTGGAACCACTGCACTCATTACAAACTACATAGAGGTCAAGGAGGAGGAAAGAACTGTAGCTGAAGGTCTGATGGTAATGTAAAGAGAGCTACTCATTCAAACACTTCTATAGATTTACCACTAAATGGTCCCACTTACTCATCAATACGGATAATCAGAAATGTTCGGGCCTACTTGGTACCTTCAAACCAGTAGGCCCATCACACAGCTGAAATTGCTTAAAACCAAGCCCTGGTCTACGCTTCCTGAATCACGCGTCCAGACCCATACTCCACCTCCCACATATAACTAACTGTCCCAGTGTCTAACTTTCTTCTCTGCTCCACTGCCTCGTTTAGTTGTTAAAACTGAGAATCTAGGGACTCAAGTATTTAAGCCCCTCACTGCTTAATGGCTCCAATGTCTTCAGGGCCTTCAGATACACCAATAAACACTTTAATCAGGCTTTAGTATCTCATGCCTCTTTGTGGTAGGTTCAGTAAAAAATAACACCAGAAAGGTATATATACATGTGTGCTTACGTTTGTGTGCATGTGGGTGTTCCCATAAATTTGCAGGATGGTGCTTGATTTGAGAACTTTAGGTACGTGATTGATTCTTATTTCACCTGCTCCTTCAGACAGAACAGTATTAGTCTGTATGTTATGAAATTTCAGAAATTGTTTAATTTCTCATACAAAAGAGACTTAGTGGATTGTAACACTTAAAAGAATTTGTGCAAATATATGCTATCTTGACCAACTCTCTACTGTATTCTTCAATGTCTTCAATGCAATGAAGGGCCTTGGCGATACATTCTATTATGAACTTATTGTCTGAGATAGCACTCTTCTCTTTAGAGTGCACTACCCTTTGACTACGAGATAAGAATTATCTGTCTTTTCTACTTTCCTTTAAAACCTGCCAGCTAGGAATCTTAGACCTAAATTAAAGGCTGATTCTCAAAACACTTACTGGGATCATGATTACTTGTCACATTCTCATATTGTGGTTTTTATTTTTACTTTATTTTGTCAGCCTTATTTTAAATCTCCATTTTATTATAAGCCATTCCACATTACTAAACAGATGATCAATTTAATTTTCAAAAGTCACCTCAGCACAGACACAAAGTAATTCCACATCCCAGACAGCATCATGTCAATCCACATTAAAAATATGATAAAATTATGAATATTAAGCTTTTAATTCAATATAATAATTTGGATTATATAAATTATTTGTATGATCACTTAATCTAATTATATCCAAAGATGGTGCATTATAGGTATATTCTGTAATTTTCAGAATTTCACAGACTTAAATTAACAAGAGTGTCTGAATAGACATTACCAGAAGTATCTTTACAACTAAAGTTTAAACTGTGAAAGCCTATCAGAAATGGTTCAGTAGATATACTTAAACGACTGTGTAATTATCTGCTACATATCCTTTCTATCTTTTGCTGATTCGAACTAGCTGTCTGGCTGTAACTAGATCTGAATTTTACTATATTTCAATGAAATTTTATATAAGAAAAATGATTACATTAAAAAAAGCCTCACAAAAATAATATGCAAAATTAACCCCTATTTATTGTACATGTAACTATTTTCTTTCAGCCTGTAGTAGTCTCAGCTGTCGTGTGATTTATAGTAGATGGCCCAGCATCATATGAAAATAATTTACTGTGGTTTGCATGCATCTCACATCGTGAGCATCAACATCTTGTATACAGAGATGCATCAATTAGAGCCAGGGAAAGATCTGCCTCCTCCTTTCCTGTACCATCACAGCAGTGAGTTTTACAAAACAGCCCTTCTTTTAAAGTTGGTTTTCTTCGGGGGGGGGTCTATTATTGACAGCTGGGGCACATGAAGTGCGCATTCCCATTAAGGGACTGAAAACTGAGGATAAGGTGGGATAAATGATAGACTGTGCCGTGTGTTTGTTAAGGTACTGACTGGTGTGTTTCGACTGCACCTGTGGATTATCATGGGCTTGCAGAGTTGAACAAAGCATTAAATTAGGATGCTGAACACAGAGGAGTCATCCATCCTTCTTTCCATTTTCCTCCAAGAAACGCTGAACCAAAGTGACAAGCATGCGCTGAACCAACTATGGTAAGCTAAAGGATCTGGAGGCAAAACTTGGGTTTCTCCCTGTAACACATGCAAATTAAGCTATTATGAAAGCTTCAAAATGAAGAAGCCATGTTATCAACTACTGACTTGTAACCCTTTAAATCCCAGTAATAAGTTAAGGAAAAGTGTCCTTCACAGGGAACCTGTACCTGGTCCCCAAAACACACAAGTGTATATTTATTCCATGGAACTTAATAGATTTTAATAACAAGTTTCAAGTGTCACTTGACCCATATTAACTATGATGGGAATGGAAAGATTCTAACTGTGCTGGAATTAAATATAAGAAGAGCTACGTTTTCAAAATCTATCTTCAAAATCTAAATGAACCTTTTCACAAGGCAGGAATTTCTTCTAAACTCTCACAAATGAATAATAGTTTACTAAGTAATGAGATCCAGTCTATATCCTAAAACAGGATTGTGAAGATCAGGGAATCTCATGCTCCTGGTCAGTATTATACAGAATATGCCCAAGCTGCAAAACCACTGTGAATGCACTGAAAGACCCTTTGGAAAGCCACTAAGGAAGAAAAGACAACCAGCTCCATTAAAATCCATACTTGTCAGGTGCAAATGGAAAGTTTCACAGAAATGGTCTAGATGTAATAGGATGGCTTGGTCAGAATAGAAGGCCTAAGCTGCTGGAAAATCAGGTGGTCAAATGCAGCAATGGAAATTCAATCCAAGGTGTTAGTGGTGTTGGGAGGGATGCCCCTCCATAAGCTCTTAAAACAGACAGTACCTGGAGAACTGCCGCTGCAGACCTCTCATCTGAGCTCTGTTGCGCTCTGATTCAAAGGTCACCTCCTGCAACCGCTTCTCACTCTGAAGACGCAGGTGTCTCTCCTCCTCCAGTTCCTGTATCAGCTTCTCATGCTGTGAAATGCAGAAGGGAATGACTTTTAACAAGGTGTTTATGACAAAAACAAATGGTAACAGATGTTGGTTCCTCAGTGCTAACTTGAGACAGATAGACAGACAGACTGACTTTCATCCTGATAATAATCCCATGAAGTAGGTTGTTTTAATCCTTGTTACAGAGCAGGAAATCAAGGATCAAAGAAATCTAGATAATGTGTCCAAGATCACAGAAATCAGAAGGTAACAGACTCTGAATCTTGGCTAACATGACTGTGATACTTGAATAATTTCTACTAAACTGGGTGGCTTCCTATGGAGAACTATTGCCCCAAATACCATCAATAGCACAGAGATTCACACAGTAATTGATAACGATATCACTGTCTATTCAAAATTATTTCATCCCTCCAATTTCTGAATCAAGCTTTTGAGAGAATATTGCTGGATTTTTGTACAAGGATCAAGAATTTCAAGCTAAATAGACCATGGAGTTGATGAAAATAACATTAAAGAATTAGTTTTATAACTGACATTGTGAAATGGGAAGAAAAGGGCTAAAGGTATAGGGAAAGTGGGAAGGGTAGGGGAAAGGTAATAAGGGAAAAGAAAAAAATGTGAGAAAATGAAAAGATGGAAATAAAGTGTTTGTAAATGGGGAGGGGAGGAGGGGGTGAAGGGAGGGCAGGGACAAGGGGAAAACATGAGAATCAAGACCTGTCATGTAAAGGTACAAGATCCCAATAATGAATGTAATTGTACTGTATGCCTAAAATGTACCAATAAACTAAAAAAAAAAGAATTAGTATTAATTGTGTCCAGTTAGGCTTTCTGAGACAAAAATAAGCAAACCACCCGTGGCTTTCACAATCCTAGAAAACTAGCTCATCTCACCAGTGCGTGTAAGGGATTAAAAGAAGGCATAAATGACCCACAATAAATGGTTCTACACTCAGCAGAGATCCTCCTGATGATACTGACTGCTATCTCACATCCTTTCTGTTTGTGTTTTTCTATTGTTATTGTCTTTCTTGTTAAGCATAACATGCTGCTATCATTACTGCTGTTACTAAACCGAACACTTTGCACAGAGGACACACAATTCTATGACAAAGACCAAAGATTCATTGCCTCATTGTGAGGGACATTTGTTGCTAAAGGGAAAGAAGAGAAGCAGAGTCCCTTGTGTGAAAATAAATCAGACACCATGACTCAGTACCGTGGATTACTCAGGGTTAAATATGATTCACTACATGGCGCAGAGCCACCTGAAGTGATAGCAAAGATCAGTTTCCTCCAGGTCTAACTTATGAGGAAAAAGTTACCCGGAGAACCATGAAGAAAACAGACTATAATCTAGAAATGAATCATGAGTCTCTAAAATGACTTACACATTCCCGACTCTGCACCTTTGACATGCCCTTGCTACCGCTTAAAAAGCTCTCTGAGATCTCTCCTGAAGCCTAGGGCTCCTCTCAAGCTTCGCTTTATGCCCGACAGTGCTCTCTTCCCTTGTCACCTCATCATTCCCTTCCTTCCTTGAGTTCCAACAGCACCTACTCATTTGCCACCCTTGGGGTCCTCACCTTATTCCATTGTTATTTTCACCTGCTCTTATCATAATTATTCAAGTACTGTTCAAGATTAGAACTATGTCTAAGTACAAAAGTACTTTGTAATTTTCAACACATTGCTTAATACCAGTAGTGCTGGTAATATATTTGCTTATTGCTTCTGGAGCTGGTCTTTTGCTAAGCCCTAACATGCTCCATTTTAACACCCAGAATATGCTACTATTATCAACACCGGAAAAGAATCAAAATCAAGTATTTTTGTTCTGTCAACTTGGACAAGTGCTCAAAATGTTACTACAAAGATAAAGATATCAGTACAAACTGCTGAGTAAAAATCAAGTTTTTGTGGTGGAAGTATGGGAAAGTAATTTTATCAGATGAATGTGTTAATTAAAGTCAATTCCATGGAAACTGTCAAAATATCAACAATAAAAAATTAATAACAGTTATTAATAAAGTATTTCTTTCTGTATTGACTCACTGTACTAGAAGCTATATGACAAGTCACCTTTATAACAGAATTTGAAAGAATGTGCTTTGATTCCAAAAACACAGAGAGAAATGGCATGTTAACTAAATAAAAAGCACATGGAGGATGTGAAGTGTTGCAGGGAAAATACCATCCTTTCTTCAAAGAAAGCAAATATTACACCGATACAGTTAATGCCATATTGAAAAATGCCAATATCTAATAAGGGAGAACGTTTTGCACATGAATAATCCTTTCTGTTCAATTCGTGGGTGCCTTTTCAAATATGGACAAAACAACACATACCCCCTGTAGCACAGAAAATGAAGTATATTAAGGATAACCATTACTTACTCCCTTCAAACACTGTTTCAATTAATCTATCAAAGCTTGACCATAATCCACACCTATATCCCAAATACATAAGGACTGTTTGCCTGAATTTTTTTTTTTAATGACTAAAAGTAGAAAGAGCTAATATCTATAGCTTGGCTAGAATTACTTTACTATTTGTGCCCTGGGTGTAAATTTATTGGTTGCCAAAGTGATTCTGACTTTTCTCCCCCAGGTTAACTCTGCATCTTTTCCAGCAAGAAAAGGAAAAGGGAGTGAGGCATTTACAAAATTTTTCATCCTCCTTACTGTATCTACTCCCCATAAGACAGCACTCTTACTTATTAGCCCTCTACTGGAAGATAGAGCAGTAAGAGAGAGAAGCTTGCCCAGCTTACAGTGCTAGAAATGGCAGCTCTGAAACTAAAATTAAGTTTTTCTAACCCCCCTTTTCTTTATCCTAGAGTCAGTTCTGCTACTTTAAAAGGTAATTTAGTTTCAATGCAATTGGTAAATTAGGGCACACTCTGAGAGTGACACAAATCTCACCTTTGCTTGTGCCAGATTTCATTCACGACAAAAAGTATGTAAGCACAGAAAATATTCCCAGCTGAACCAAGATGTGTATAAACGCAAAATACACATATTTGAAAATAGACCTCTGGCTAGCACCCATACTATGAGCCACACTCATTCACATTTGTGCTACAGCTTTCCCTCTGATCTCAGGCAGCCTTCCTTTGGCTGTGAGTTTGGAACTCACAGGATGCATCTTTGCTGATGCACACTTCCACAAGAAAAGTACAAGTCTTTTTTCAAGGTCAAGTATCAAATGTATTGTAGTAACTGTATTTCTTAACCATTTAAAGCAAGGAAAGCTTAGCTTTCCATTTTTATTGGCTTTCTTTTTTAAGGTGTCACTGACAAAGCTTTCAGCATTGCACCTCTCATTCCACCCCCCGCAGAACCATTGTAGTTTCTATTGTGTGGTTTTGCAGAGCAGAGCACAGGCTCTATACCATGTAGCAAAAGAAATCCAAATCAAGAATAGAACACCAAAGCAGGGCCAGGGATTTGGCTCAGTGGTTCCAGCACCTGCTTTGTAAGCTCAAGGGCCCGAGTTCGATCCCTGGTACCAAAAAAAACAAACAAAAAAAACAAACAAAAAAACAAAAGAACTCCAAAGCACTTTCCTGTCTGTGGACAAGCAAAGAGTTGACTCCTAGACAGAGAGTCTATGCTCTACAAATGATCATGTTTCCAGAAAGAGGAAAAGTTTATATAAATTCTGATTAATAGAGAACTATTCTGTGTGAGGGAGCTATGTACCAATAACATAGATTCATTCATTTACTCAGGCTACAAATGCTCCCTGAAGAGTTACTCTGTGCCAGTACGGGACAAGTTTTGGAGATCAGCCTGGCCAAACAGGCCTGGGTGCTGATTTCACTAGATTTCATAAACTGTGTAAGAAAGGTGTTGCACAAACTACTGCACAAACAGATGTATCAGAGTAAACAGACAAATAATTAAGTTTGCTAAAAGATGGCAACAAGAGGAGCTGGTTAGCATGGTAGGTCAGGAGAATCCTTTTCTGAGGAAGTAACAATGACACTGAGTCCTGTGCGATGGCCCGGTGCTGCCAGGTGAAGAGAGGATCAGCAGGCCAAGCAGAGTAAGCAGCAATGTGAAGTCCTTCATCACACATGGCCGGAATGAAGAGAAGACTTAGGTGGCTGGAGGCTGGAGGGCACGAGCGCAGCTGTGGCATGTGATACAGATGGAAAGAAACACGCTGGATCCTGGAGGGCCAGGGATTCCTGTGGAAAATCTGGGACTGTATCCTGAGTACAATGGTACCTTGGTACCAAGGTGATATTAAGTGAGTGATATAATCTGACTATGACTTTGCAAAGATCATTCTGTCTGCTTTGTGGGGAAAGAATTAAGTGGCTAAATTATCGAATAAGAAAATAATTAGGTAGAGTCTGGTGAATGCTCCCAGATTCAAGTTGGACCTGTACTAGGCAAGAAGTTTTGGAAAAGCCATTGAACTTAAAACTTCACTATTTTAAGCCCACTTCCTCTGTATATTGGGGAAAATGAACTCTGCCAAGCCCACTGTATAGCAATACTGTGAGGAATGAGCAAGATAATATACAGTAAAGCACTTTAAAAATGAAGTCCAATGAAAAAATAAGATATGGTTAACTGGAATGCTACAGCTTATGTCATCTAAAGTAGTTCAGCTATTTTTGATAAATTCTACAGCAATTTTAGTTTTTAATGATCACTACATTTTAGAGAAATATTATAGTTATATTTCTTTATTCTCTTATTATTTTGTTATGAAATTTGTATTATTTTTTCATAATATAAAAATGTTTAAAAACATGCTTCAGGCAGAGCATATATTACTACTGAAAGAAAATACATTTTAAATTAGGTTTTAATGTAAGAACAGAGAAACTAACTTCATTTAGATGCCACCTAGAAAGTACATAGCTCTGTTTATGGCCTTCCCAGAAGATATTTTTTTAATGCCATTATCTAGTGAAATTTCAAACAGATGGCTTGATGTATGGTGTGCCCACCCTTCAGGGGAAAATTAAAATGAACATTTGATTTCAAATAGAGAATGT